GAGCGCGACATTGTACGCGAGATGCTAAGCGAGCGCGACATATGCAATCTGTCGGCTATCACCCATATGACATGGAACAGTGCTTGCTGTAGGCGTTGCATGAAGGCGGGCGGCGGGCGGTGGAAGCAGAATCACGGCGGGAGGAAACCAACATCTATTTTATTCAGGTAGGTGGCACACTTTGGGATGTTACATAAGACATGGACGGCGGCCGTGGGTGTAAAACAGCCACGGGTGGGCAGGCATTGATCAGCGTCGGCGGCGTGTAGAGAACGGCAGCCATTTTGGTCGGGGCAGTAGGAGTCGGAGATGCCGGAAAGCGGCGGGCCAATAGGTGAGGGGGCGAGCGCTAAGATGCGCCGGGCAATGCAGTAATGCAGCAACGCAAGGGGGAAGGCGGGAGGCCATGCAGGAGGCGGGAGACGATGGTGGGCAGGTGTTGATGGAAAGAATGATGTATGACCACCATGATGATGGTGACAAAGCGGTCCGGGGGCGGCGGATGCCGTGTGCCGAGCGCCCACGGAGTATGCCGAGCGCCTCCCACGGCTACCGACACTCTCTGTGCACCCAAGTCATTTGGGCGGGTATTTAAGGAGGGGTATTATCACAGGGTAAGCGTTCTAGCGATATTAACTATCGGCTGTTGGCCGATCACCACGGAAACATGGCAACTGATGGGTTACCATACTTGGGTAGGGTAGGTGGCTGATCCCCAAATTCCACTTGCCCATGCACATCAAAGAGTGTAACATCCTCTTCTCTTTCAACCTCACCCCCTTCATTGGCCAAGCGGATGGTGAAGCTCCTGAGCGTGGGTAGGCAAACTCGAACCCACTGGGGCAACACAAAGGAGATGGGTCCAGGTGCCCACTGTGATGCCCTTGACAACCACTTCAATGACTGGAACCACAAGAAGCTTGTGGCGCTCTGTTATATACTGAGCTGAGAGGGGGAAGAGAAGTCCCGTGGAAGTCCGGAACCGGAAGACGTCTGGAATCTGGAGCAGGACTGGAGGTGAAATAGTTGGTTATTCTCGCAAACACCACAACTCAGCAGGGTGTGCGACTGTCTGGGTGTTGAGCCGGGACGAAAATCAAGACAAAGCGAAAACGCTCTGCAACACAGGATTCTAGCCCAATTGGGACTACTCCGGGAGGCCGGACCGGAAGGCCCAGACCGGAGGTAAACCGGAGTGGTGTAGAAGCTGCAGGAACGAGGAAGCGGAGGTGAATAGGAAGGAAGTGGTCCAGAGTGGTCCGGGAACCGTAATGACCGGAAATGGACCGGGAATAAAGTCGAAGTACGAAAAGGACATCCAGAGGCTTAGGCATAACCCTGGAGTCGAGCCGAAGACAAGGATTGAAAGAGGAGACTCAGTCCATGAAGGGAAACATGGAATAACATTATTTTTCCAGATGAAGTACTGGACGTGGCTAAGACAGATATATACTAAAGTCCGTAATTGTAGTCCTAAATGTGGATAAGTAATGTGACCAGTGCGTAAAACAATAAGCCACTATTCAAATGGGGACAGAGAAGTAAAGCGATGCTAAAGACAATAAAGGAACCTCGGATGAACGGATAAACGGAAGAAACACTTAGTAAAGTGTTGTGACACAAATATCCGAAGTTCTAGTCCTGTGGTTACCGCGCTGTCATAGTAGGCGACCAGGTTTATGATGTAAGCAATCCGTTTTGGGAAGCCACGTGTCCCATCAAACACGACAACAACTGTCAATGTTCTCGACACGACTTTGTGTACTCGCACATGGCCCCGTCACGAGGCCGGAAATGACAAACCGAACATGGTCGTACAACCATCCAACAGATTGTTGCAACGAAAATACCTCAATGGACTGGTGGTCTTCGCGACTGGCAAGTCACTGTCATCGCCTGGATCCTCGACGGCGAGGATGTTCTTTGCATCACTCGGGGTTTGGGGATCAGAAGAGGAAGACGCCTGTCGGACTGGTGATCGCACCCACGAAAGGACTTTTGGCCAATATTGTACGTGATTTAATTTACACCCTCCCCCGTGTCTCCTTCCTCACCGTGTATAATTATAAGATATTTGAACTCCAGGCCCTCGGCATTCCTGCTCTTGAAGGTAAGTTGATGAAGGTTTCTATTCATATCATTTACCTCGTCCCGCAGGAGTGTAATTCGGGCCCGGTATTGGGGAATTGTTTCCGGGAACCCATGTAAAGGCTCCATTTGTATCGGCGCTCACAGAAGTGGATTGCCGTCGTGGGGGCAGTCTTGGAGTGTCATAGAGGGTCTCAGGGGGGACTAGACCCAGTGTAGATGAGTTGTTCGCCATTGCGTCGCGTCAGATGGCGGGGATACGCGTCGAGTGAGGTGGAGACACGTGAAAATAAATGAGTTGTTTGGTGGTGTATCTCGGAGATATCACATCATTAGATAATAAGATTGGACGCCGCTTAGTTGACGCGGTAACTAACAGACTCTATAACGCGAGGTACGAGCGCAAATTTTATAGAGTATCTGTCTTAGAGAGACTACCGAAGTTCTAAAGTGTTCCGGTTGGTCCCAGATCGGTCCGGGGGTCCGGATCTGGAGTGTGACTATAGTGTGACCGGCGTGTTACCGGAACCGGAGTGCACAGATATAACACGCTCGGGGGTTTTTTACTGGAGCAAGGGAAGAAGTGTAAGGAGGCAGTACCACATGCGGCCCCATCGAGGGCCCCTATTTCATTATATTGGTCATTGTATATACTTCTTATTACTACTGTATATCTGCGAGTGCTGATGGAGGAGGAGTCATCTGACATCCACCTACCATTGAGCACTCTAGTTCTATTGCAATATAGACTGGTCTAGTTCATTCGGGTGTGATTGTTTAAGATACCAATCCACAACCCGTATAAGAAGGCAGTAGACAACATAGGCCCCCATTGCATGGTGCTAGTTGAGGCAGAGGAGGGACTGCCTGCAGTGGTGGTCACCAAATGGAATGCGGAGATGACGCTCTGGGAGGAGGACGCTGCGAACCCCAATCCGTTCACGGAGTGCCATGAGACTGTGATGGCAATCCGTGGGCGATTGGCAATGGTAGCAGCTGGTGCGAAGGAGGGAGACAAGAAGGATGATGTGTGAGGGAACCTGCATGCAAGCAAGATGATCACTATGGGCATCAACCTCAAGCAACAGCAATGTGATTTGGAGGCTGACATGGGCACGGTCAAAGCACACACTACAGATTGCCAGAAGACACACTTTACAAGTGTTCCAACCAACTGTTGAGGAAGATAGCTGGTTGGATTGACCTCCAGAAGTCATTCACACCGCTGGTGACATGCCTACGCACAGCCAACAAGGAGGTGTGCGTGCAGGCCTCACGGCTTCAGCCAAGCGTAGCCCTTCCTGTGCATGCAATCAAGCTTTGGCTCCCCTCGAAGTTGGCGACAACCCCCCCACGTGCAAGTGAAAGAGAGCCATGCATGCTTTGAGTTTGAGCTGTGGGTGGGGCAGGCACACAAGGTGTTGGAGGAACTCCAGTGTTTGCTGCTGGTCCGCACCTACTAGTACATCTTTAAGGACGAAAATGACTGCAGTGTCGCTGCCAATACTCGGGCTAACACCACCATCAAGAGAATTGACGACCAGATCCGACACATGGCGACACAGTATCAAGTTGCTCAGCTCGCCATCTTGGCCCTCGCTGTGAAGCTGAAGGAGACAGAGTGGAAGAAGCAGCTTCACATCTTGACTCCTGATGACGTCTGCGCCTGCCCTCACAGGATGTTCAGCAACCCGCTGCACAAGCAGAGGACCAAATGGAGGAAGACTGTCACTCTGGGAGTGGCTGTACAGGAGGCACAGCAGAAGAAGGAGGAGGAGCGGCCCACATCTTGGATATGGCTGTTGCAGCTGTCCACAACAGAGGGCATGGACCAAGACATGATGGAGGCCCTATGCCTTGAGTGGGCTAAGACGCGCGCATGAGCATGGAGATGGACAGAAGAGGTTGATTTGGTGGGGGAGGAGATGCAGTGTGTCTTGGATTTCTTGAGGTGGAAGGTGGATTGGTGGTTTTTGATGGTGGACCAGCACCTGGAGGTGGGTGAGAACAATGTTCTCTATGAGGGGTTCACTGCCTATGCTTGCCATCCATCTCAAATCCAGCAGACCTTGCGTGAGCGCTTTGAGGAGAACTGGCGGGATATACCATGTTATATGGCGAAGGTGCGCACAAACGTTGCTGGGGAGGGAGAGGAGGAGGAGGAGATAGTGGAGGGGCTAGTGTCAATTGCGGGGTCTGCATATGAAGCGGTCCCAGAGGTGGAAGTAGATACACTGGCTCTGGTGTCCTTTGTAGAGGACTCTCTTGCTTGATACCTAGCACTGTACTTATCTGAATTTTTAATACATTTATGTGGTATTTTACCAGTAATAATGGTCCAAAGGCTTGCCCATTGTGGACAGCGACAATGAGCGACATTGATCACTGTGTAGAAGTCTGATCTTGATGTGTCAGCAATGTTGACGGTAATGCTGAACAGAGGCAAGCAGCTGGACAGCGAGCTTGCTGTCATGCTCACTGTCACTGTGGCTGCCGTCGCTGTGGGACAACACATGAGTGCCTCTAGTATTTCCATAATCAGGGCTTCTAATTAGAGCATTTTATACAAAAAATCATTGCCTCTGATTAGAGGTCGTTATATATTACACTGCCAACCTCTGGTGGCAGCACACCCAGCCGGATTCATGCTACAGGAAAAATAGCAGGGGGCTGGAAACTTTGGGAGGGGAGAAAGCCTGATGGGATTTCTTCAGTAGTCAGCTAATGCTTGGTCAGAGTTCTCCCCCACTCTTCACCCAGTGTATCTTGCCCACCCAATACAGAATATACACACTAGTCTTCAATGCTTGTGCTCCAAATCAACATGAAGTATCTGATGGAGTCGATGGAAAAGTGTAATGTGATGTCACATGGTGTAGGTGGCAAAAAGAGATGAAAAAGAAAGAGAAACTAGCCCACCGCGAGGGTCGAACTCGCAGCCTTCAGATACCTGCCTATAAGAGTCTGACGCTCTGTCCAATTGAGCTAGGCAGGCGTCATGCCCTCCTTGGGTGCTGAAATTTGCACCAAACCCCCTTTGTCATGGAACACTTTTCATTTCCCCTTTCCATCCCGACAACCCGACTCCCTGTGATTGTATTCTGTCAATCACTCCTTTTTAATCCCTTGAAAAAACACCCATATCTTAATTACAACCCTAGGGCTAGTCTTTTATAAACCTCTATAGCCATGTACATACAATACTACCAGCGGCTTGAACCTGCTTTACTCTACACTGTTGCTATCTAGTCGTCTCAGTTGTGTTTTTGAGAACCTGCTCAAGCCACTGTGCTGACACCCTCCCTGATTTTTCAATGCTGACAGATCATGAACATCACAGAAAGGGAAATGAAAAGTGTTCCATGACAAAGGGGGTTTGGTGCAAATTTCAGCACCCAAGGAGGGCATGATGCCTGCCTAGCTCAATCGGATAGAGTGTCAGACTCTTATAGGCAGGTATCTGAAGGCTGCGAGTTCGACCCTCGCGGTGGGCTAGTTTCTCTTTCTTTTTCATCTCTTTTTGCCACCTACACCATGTGACATCACATTACACTTTTCCATCAACTCCATCAGATACTTCATGTTGATTTGGAGCACAAGCATTGAAGACTAGTGTGTATATTCTGTATTGGGTGGGCAAGATACACTGGGTGAAGAGTGGGGGAGAACTCTGACCAAGCATTAGCTGACTACTGAAGAAATTCTAGTGGGCTTTTCACCCTTACACAGCCTCTGGCCCCTGCTGTGAATCATGATCAATCCAGACTCATCTGTGCTAGGCAGGTCAATGTTGCAGCAGCTTACAGCTCTATTCAGAGCAATGCGAAAAACATGATTTTTTGAGGGCTTTTGTGAGGAACCCCACACTGGTTAACAAGTTTTTCAGCGAAAATATTGGTGAAAAACTTCCTTCATTTCTCACCCTTTTTTCACTGAAAAGTCTATAAAACTTTTTCAGTACTTTTTACAGCTAATAACAGTACCGAAGGCGCGACCAAAAAAAAACTGTTTTTGGCCATTTTTGATCCCCACGAAAGAATTGCCAGTAGCGGCCTCAATCCTCGTCTGTTTGGGCTGGAACCTAGCTAGAATTAACGGCCTATTCCATGCGCAATTAGTGATAGAGCCAGATCCAAAAAAAAAATTACATACTGACTGAGCTGATAAACACGGTGTTGTGCACAAAGAATTGCCTGTAGTGACCTCAATCCTCGTCTGTTTGGGCTGGAACCTAGCTATAATTAATGCCCTATTCAATGTGCAATTAGTGATAGAGCCAGATCCAAAAAAAAATTACATACTGACTGAGCTGGTAACCACGGTGTTGTACACCGATAATCTCATCTGACATGCCCAAATTAATGTTGCCGCGACTCCAAATTCGAGTTGTCTGGGAGTCGAGTCCATACAAGTCGCTTGATCGACTCAACCTCCTGAGTCGAGTCGAACTAGATCGACTCAAGTCAACTTCAGGTCGACTTAGTCGGTGAAGTCGAGGGAGTTTTCTTCCTGATTGCCTCAGTAGGTCGTAGGATAATGTCGAGCGCTCAGGGAGGGTTGGGATAGTTGGAAAAAATGTTGTTTGTCCCAGTACACATTCCCCACATCGCTGGATAATTATAAGGGTGCTAAAAGCACTCAGGTGTGACTATTAGGACCGAAGGGGTATTGATCAGTACCAAAGTACTAACCTACTGTAGCCCTGTGTATGGCTGAAACGTAACGTGTAACGCAGGCCTGTTTCTGCGTTCAAAATTGCCTTTTACGGCAACTGATGTCAGAATTATTACCATATCGGGTAGGTGTTTATGCGTTTCAGGCTGTCACGCTCCAATTTGTGTTTCACCTATACAAAGGGCTACAGTATGTTCAGGTTCAGTTCCTGGAACTCCCCAATAGTTACAACGGTGGAGTGCTTGAGTCTTTCACTTGTTGAAATGTACTGTAGTAGTTCAATCTCGGGGGCAGTCAATCTTTTGATTTTGCTTTGAAAAATCTTCAACCAATCCCAATCACAAGAAGATAAAGCACCGCTCGATTACACACATCATGAGATCAAGAACATAAATCTGAGCTAACTTAAAGCCAAGTAATTCATATCAGTATGCATCACATCTCCTCCGGCATTTCAGGAAACGCAGCGTCAGCAAAGTCTAAGCTATCCAAAACTTCCTTCCGAATTACTTCCTCCTCTTCACCACCCGATTTTGATGCTAAGGTACGCAGCCAATCTTCTTCTTCGGCGGCAATTGGGGCAGATTGCCAATCTACCATGAAGTTGAGCCGAGATTTCTTGTATGTGAATTTGAGCATCTGCAACACTTCCATCAACATAGGGTTAATACGGTTCCGTTGTTTGGTGTCAGTCTCAGCTGACGACGAGAAAACTCGTTCTGATGGAACGGAGGTTGCTTGGATTGGACCAAAGTCAAGGAAAAGGCGATAGATTGTTGGCCATAATGTGTGTCCGTGATTCTGTAGAACAACAGGAGCCATTAAATTATTTGGAAGCGAAATAGAGCGAAAGAACTTACTGTCCAATAACCAATCATATCGGTGGAAGCCCTCGGAGGAATATCACTGCGGATGTAATTGTCCAGCTCCTCCTCTTCGAACCGGGCTGCATCTTGTGAGCCGCCCGTCTCATTTGAAAAATCAAGAGATTGTTGTGTGTTACGATAATGCTCAGTAGCAAGGGCAAGAGCAATAGCAGCAGCGCCAGGGCCTCGTGTTCTAGAGGGCTGGCAAGAACCGGGCTGCGATGATGGGCCGGATCCTGATCCTGCAGGGGAGCCTGCAGATTCAGTGCTTTAATTCCGGTAAGCCTTGAGCTGTGAATTATTCCAGTATATTGAATGCACCTCATCCAGAAGTGATGAATGACCTACCCGTTCGAGAATAATTGCCCTTGCCTTCGCCCGGTCCGGCTCGGACCAATTGGCCGCAATCCACCCAAAACGAATCGTAGGATCAATGACTGGTTGAAGTGTATCAGTGAATATCAATTTCTTTGCTGGTGAAAGGACTCACACATGGCAATTACATATGCATCGGTGTCGGCAAACCTGCTGTAATATTTTTTTGCAACAGCAAGGCCTGGAGTAATAAATTGTCGAATATTCTTGTTGGCCAATAGTGGATCTGTCAGCATGGAATTCCAGGATTTCGTGAATAGTTCAAGTGCAGGGATTGCCGCAGCGAGGATTGGTGTATTCTCCGAAGACATGATGGTCTGGACAGTATGTGGTTGCTAATGATAATATCAGCAGGGTCCAACTCGAAAAATTCTGAAGTGCATGTGACCTGGAGAATTAAATCCAACAGCTCCAACCGATTCCAATGAGTTGACTCCAGAGGGTGGTTGAATCCAAGCAGCGTGTCACGGTTTGTGGCAAAAAATCGAGTTACAGGCTGAAGAAATTGTCAGCGACGCTGACCGTGGAAGTAAAGTTAACTGACTAACCTGCTGTAAATAGCGCAGTCTCTACAGCATGAAAAAAACCGAGTCCCAACGTGTCTTGACATCTGGAAATAAGGTGACAAGTGCGAGGTTCACAGTCACCTTCTCGGCTTGGGCATCAACAATGACCACTTGGGTCCAGGTTTTGTCGTTGTCGCCCTGTCGAATAATCTCCAGAAACTCATCTCGCCGCTGGCCTGACTTCCATATGAAACGGACAGCTTTTCGGGCTCGCTGAATAGGACCAGCCTTTCGACTGGTACGTGTCGGCCAAATTGTGACAGCCGCGTCATCGTCAGAGATGTCGCTATCTGTTCCGGGTTCTGTGTCCGTGTCCAGATAATCTGCGTCCATGTCATCCCTCTCCATCGCTCGGATAACAGCCTGAGAACATAGATTAATGATGTGCGCAAAGCATCGGATATAGTTCTTCTTGGCATCGAAACCATTAATGTCACGCCTCCTCAACAAAATCGAAAAGTGGGTCATAAACGACAGGTTGTTTGAAGCGTTGTCAAGTGTAAAATGGCCAATCTGAAGGCACGTGAGCAATGAAACAAATTCTGTAATTCAATTCACCTTCCCAAGAATTTCGGCCTGATCCATAACATCAAACACAACACGTGTGATATGTTGGCCGCTGTGTGCGCCGTGGATGCGGCGAAAAGCCAAAAGTGTTTGGTGCAAAAGAACTTGATTTGTGTCAAGCCGTCTGCCGAACCAGTGAGCGGTTATAGCGAGATATGGCTGCAGGGCCGCACTGCTCCAAATATCTCCAGTGAAGCTAATCTTGCCGAGAGATACCTTGAATTTTCATTAGATACATTTGAGAAAGTGCTTCAGAGACCACTTACCCGAAGCTCGGCTTTGAGTTCCTCCCAGTAGTCAAGCCAAGCATCTATGATGAGACTCCGAAGCTTGGTGCGATGGGGAATATCTTCATCACGCAGTGTTTCCTGCAAGAAAAGAAGCAAGTCGCAAAAGTCGCGGTTCTCGATCAAGTTTATCGACTATAATGGACAACTAATGTATCAGCAAGAAGTGTTGTCAACAAGTTAAATAAATTAGCGTACAAGATCATTTGACACCACCACTCTGACCAATTGATTGGCGAGGGCAGCCGTGGAAAACGGGATACGCTGATAGTTTGTGCGTCGTTCTTCTAGTTGCTTTGCACGGTCGGCAGAAGGCTTGTGTGCCCAATTGTGCTGGCGAATGGCATCCAGATATTCATTGAGATGTTGGCTCTCAAGATGCTTACGCTGCGAGGAGACGCTGGTCCTGGCAGCATAAACCCGCATGAGAATAAGGTGAGAAAACATGTGCCTTGCCAATGTCTAAATCACTCACAAACACACACCACATTTCCATGTCCTACTTTGCGCGTGATGCCCGAAAAAATATTTCATCTTGGGTGTTGTTGCTGTCTGAAGAACCAATTCCTCGGCCCACGCAAAATTCTGATCATCAACAGTATGGCCTTCCATGCCAGTCCTCGTCTGAGGCTGCCGTGGCTGAGGCTGCGCAGGTGGAAC